GACTAACTGGCCTATAGTTTCCTGGGTCCCCCTTCCTCCCTTTTTTGAAGATGGGAACCACGTTGGCCCTCTTCCAGTCCTCTGGCACCACACCAGAGCACCATGAGTGCTCGTAAAGCCATGCCAGGGGTCCTGCAATGACGTCAGCTAATTCCCTCAGCACTCTGGGGTGGAGATCATTTGGACCAGCTGATTTAAATATGTCCAGTCCCTCCAGAAGTTCCCTGACTAGGTCCTCACTGACCCTAGGCCTGGGTGCGCCTCCCCTGGGGCCTGAGGGGGTCCTGGTTGTGGGGGTTGATCTGGTCCCTGCTCAGTTTTGTTCATCGGTAATGTTGATCCAGAGCCCGCTGAATTCAGTGAGAGTCTTTCTGCTAATGTCAGTGGCCCTTTGAGATCAGGCCCCCCTAAGCAGGGGCTTGACAATGCAAAGCACCTGCATGGCAGAGGGAACAGTGGATGATGGGAGGCTTAAATGTGAGGTTGGTAGTTGGTAAGGAGGTGAGCAGTGGCATGGGTGGCAGAACGGGTAGCCAAGCTTCTAGGAAAGGGGTTTCTGGCAGGATGAAGGAGCATAAGTAACATAGGAAAATCCAGTGGACAGAGAAAAGGGGAAATCAGAGTTCTCGCAATATGGGCTGAGGTTATCCCAGTAGGCTAAACCTAGGTGATTGCTATGCTTTCACCACCACAGATTTCAAACAACATTAATGGATATTCCCCTATTAAAAACGGTGAGAATATGTACCTATTCCAAACATAGCTGGATTAATACATGGGGTGGTGAGGCCCAGGGCCAGAAGCCCCTGCCAATCAGGGGCCCTCTGCATGCCTGGGTTCCCGTGGGAAACGGAGGGTTTCTAGCCTGTAAGGGGCTGCTTGGGGCTGCCAGGAGTGAGATGCAGAGGGCACTGTGTACATGCACATGGCCTGGAATGCAGCTGGGCAGCATGGAGAGCAGCTTCCTGCAGGTAAGTATATGGGGGAAGAGGTATGGGGGGCAGATCAAGGCTCCCACTGTCAGGGAGGGAGTGGGGCAGGGGCAGGGACTGGAGCTAGTGCTGGAGGCACTTCCTAGCTTGGGTGATACATGGGACCTAGGGCTGAGTCAGAGAGCAGGACAGAGCCATGGGTGGCTTATCCAGGGTGTGTGTGTGTGTTGGGGGGGGGGTTCAGCTCACTGCTGCTGTGTGTACCCCCCATGGGAGGCATGGGGGGCAGGGAAAGGGCATGTGCCCCCTTGGATTTGTGTGCAGGGTGGATGCAGGCTGCCTGCTGTAAGCTTGGGTCTCCTTGCCCTGCTGCCTTTGCCCCAGGGACTCCATGCTAGCTGTGCACCCCCTGCCCGCCAGGCAGCAGTGGGAGTGGCAAGTTGTGCTGCAGCCCCCAGGGAAAAGGCAGCAGGGTGGAGAGCCCTGAGCCCACAGCAGGCAGCCCCCATCTGCCCTTGCTCCACTCCAGCTGTGGGGGGTAGCAGGGAGCAGGGAGGAGAGGCAGGTATGTGCCACCCTGGCTCCAGCCCAGCCAGGTCACTCCAGACTCCCTTGGCTGGCACTAGGCCTGTGCCTTGGCAGTGGCAGCACCAGGAGAGGAAGGGGCCCCCGCTCCCTCTGGAGTCCAGAGCCCCAATAAATCTTAATCCGCTATTGGTTCCAAAGCCCATCACAACTGGTAGATCCAGCCTCCAGTAGTGCCTTCTTCAAGGCCACAGAGAAGGAGCATGCAGCAGAGCAAGGAACTGAATCCATATCTTCTGAGTCTCAGTACAGTATACTATTCACTCTTCCTTGCTATGATTACCCCTGATTAACACCAGTTAAAGTACTGAAAGGTACAGGCCTGTCATGGTTATAAATCTATGGCCATAGCCTAAACATGCTGTTCAGTACACACTTAACAGGCACAAAGTTCTGGTTGCTTAACTGAATTTCCTGACTTCTATGAAATTAAAATCTCAGACTTCAAGTTGCACTAATTCTTTCTTTTTTGCATGCATGCATGTAATTCAAATCTGTAATGCACAGAAATGATTTTTGCCAGTGTAATCCTGAGTCAGTCAGCCCAATAATTGGATTTCAAATGGTTATGTTCAGTTATAAATTAGCATAACAACCCATCATAAGTATGCAGTTTTATTACATGAGTGCCAGGCAGTATGCTAAATAAGTACTGTGGGGTGAACTCATTTCTGGTGTAATGCCACTGAGTTCCTGGGATGAAGTGACATGTAGGGGGTGCACATGCACCCCCCGGGATTGGCGGTGCACGCCCTGTGATTGGCTGCTGCAGATGCTGCCAGCAGCGCCTGTGGGCAGTTGCCATTCACCACCACCCCCGCGCTCACCGCTGACACCGGCGGCAGCATCTGTGGGGAGTCGCCAATTGCTGCTGATGCTGCTGGCGGCATCTGTGGGTGGTCACCGACTGCAGGTTGGTGCTCGTCACCCTCCCCCTCCCCCTCCCCTGCCACTGACACCGCTGCAGCCACCTGCAGGAGCTCCCCACTCACCACCGCCATGCCCCCACTGCCACCGCCTGCAGGTGGTCGCCGTTCCCTGCTCCCCAGCCTCCAGGGGCACACATTGTTCATGATTTTAGAAAAAAGTGTGTCCCCCTGGGAATCCTAGTTACCATGAATATAAACCAGAAGTTGTGAAGTTCAGTGAAGTGTAGACAATAGAATGAGGGCAAGACTTCATTCAGCCCCATTGTCACTGATGGACAGGAAGCAGGGAGAGTCCTTTATGGGTGGCTGTGGGAGGCCAATTCTGCTTACCTTACTCAAGCATGTACCTTTTACTGGCATCAAGTGGGTAAAGGAAGCAAAATTTGGCCTGTGGTAGAATCAACGTTGTTATTTTTGTTAGTTCCTCCTTTGTTGGCTAAATCCTGATCTCCCTGAGTTCAATTAAGAACTAGTCCTAGATGAATCTTTCTTTCCTGACTTGTCTGAGTCTGACCAGTGACTTCCAAAAAATGAAGAATTACATAGTATCATAGAATCCTAGAAATTAAGGGCTGGAAGGGACCTCAAAAGATCATTGAGTCCAACCCCCCCTGCTCTGGGCAGGAACACTGCTGAAATCAAATGATCCCAGGAAGGTGTCTATCCAGTTTCCTCTTGAAGACTTGCAAGGATGCACCACTTCCTTGGGAAGTCTATTCCAGATTCTGGTCACCCTTATGGTAAAGAAGTTCTTCCTTACATCCAACCTGAAACCATCCTCTAACAGCTTATGGCATTGCTCCTTGTCCTCCCCTGGGGCACCTTCGTGAACAGGTTTTCTTTCAACTCCTGATATTCAACCCTTACATACTTATAGATGGCCACCAAGTCCCCCCCTCAGCCTTCTCTTCCCCAGGCTGAACAGTCCCAGATCCCTTAGTCTTTCCTCATAAGGTTTGTCCTCCAGGACCTTAATCATTCTTGTGGCCCTCCTCTGGACCCTTTCAAGATTCTCCACGTTTTTTGAAGTGCAATGTCCAGAACTGGACACAGTACTCCAGCTGGGGTCTCACCAGCACCAAATAGAGAGGAAGTATCACTTTCTTAGCCCTGCTCGTAATACGTCAGCTAATGCATCCCAGTATGCTATTAGCTCTGTTGACTACAGCGTCATGCTAGCGGCTCATGTTCATCCTGTGATTAACCATAACCCCAAGGTCCCTTTCAGCCATCATGCTGGTCAAGACACCTCCTAACCTATATTCATGTCACTGGTTACTTCTTAGGAAGTTGGCCATTGCTTATTTTCTTAGTCTCATGCAATGAAATATTGTCTATTGTAGCTAGTATTGCAACAAAAAAACTGGTATTAAGACCTATGTTGATATTCACATTCAAGTTTGGATGCAAGACTGAATTTGGTCTGGGTTTGAATGTAATTACATTGAAATTCAGGAGCTGGTTTTGCAAAACTCTTGCTCCCTCTGAAAAATATGTCTCTTTAATTAGGAATCCAGCCCAGACCCAAAAGCCTTAGGCCTAAAGGATTCAAATCCGAGTTCTATACATCTGACCCCAAAATGCCAGTGTATGGGTTCACATACTGGCATTGGGTCTAATACCAGCACATGTGACCATCCTTTTACATCCATGCTCTTGGAATACATCTGGTTAACAATATAAATAGTGGTCCTACACTCCTATTTATAGACTGCTGAAGAGGGGACATGTAAGCTTTCTAATGATTTTGCCTTACCTTCATGGGCAGTTACCACCCTGAAGACAACTCTCTGATACTGAAAAAAAGTCTAACATGTCTATTAATCACATATGCTTCCTCCCCCACTCTCTCAGCTCCTGGCAGAAGACTGGCCATTTGGAGTGCAAGTGTGCAAGCTGGTCCCATTCATTCAGAAGGCCTCTGTGGGCATCACTGTCCTCAGTCTCTGTGCACTCAGCATAGACAGGTAACATACCTATCACCACCATCACCACATTCTCCAGCTGGACTAGTTTATAGTTTCATAGTTTCTAGGGTCAGAAGGGAGCTGTGCAGATCATCAAGTCTGACCCCCTGCCATGGCAGGGAAGAGTACTGCAGTCAAATGACCCCAGCAAGGTGATTGTCTAGCCCTGTCTTAAAGACCCCCAGGGTAGGAGCCGTTATTTCTAGTCACTCCTGGTAGTGCTCGGGGGAACAGAGACTCCCCCAATGCCTGCTGGTCCCCCTGACTAGTTTGTAACAGGCCACTAGATCCCCCTCAGCCTCTTGTGGAGGCTGAACAGGTTCAGGTCCCATAGCCTCTCCTCATAGGGCCTGCCCTTCTGCCCCGACCATGTGAGTGGCCCTCCTCTGGACCCTCTCCATGTTGTCCACATCCCTCCTGAAGTGCGGCGCCCAGAACTGGACGCAGTACTCCAGCTGCGGCCTGACCAGTGCCACATAGAGGGGGAGGATCACCTCCTTGGACCTACTTGAGATGCATCTGTCGATGAATGACAAGGTACGGTTGGCCTTCCTGACTGCATCCCCACGCTGCCAGCCCATGTTCATCTTGGCATCAATGATGACTCCAAGATCCTTTTCTGCCTCTGCACTGATGAGAAGGGAGTTCCCCAGCCTGTAGGTATGCTGCTGGTTGTTCCTCCCCAGGTGCATCACCTTGGTTTAATCATAGTGTGGCCATTTACTGTCACACACCCCATGGCTCCCCCAAGCCAAAGTCAGAGAAGAGTTTAATATACTGGAAGTTAGACTCAGGCTCACACAGACGGTCCCTTACTAACATCCAAGGGAGTCTAATTTGGTTTAACACACCTGAAGGGGAGATGGAGAAATGTGGAAGTTAAAGTTGGTTTGGGGCTACTTTAATCCATCCCTTTGCAGTCCTTTTGATCAGGCCCTTTTCTTGCTGCTTTCTGCTCTCCTGATGCTCCTGCAGGTGAGGTACAGAGTGTGAAGGGAAGGGAACAACCTCCCTTTGCATTCATGTCTCTTTGGCAGGTATAGAGCGGTGGCCTCTTGGAGCCGAATCCAAGGGATAGGAATCCCCATGTGGAAGGCAGTCGAGGTGATGCTGATCTGGGCTGTGGCTATTGTTCTGGCTGTCCCTGAAGCCATTGCCTTTGACATGGTGGAGCTGAACTACCGTGAGCAGATTCTCTGGGTCTGCATGCTGTCCTCTGAACAGAAGTCCAGCTTCATGATGGTGCGTACCACTCCCTCCTCTGTCTGCAGGGAGATGTGATGGGGTGGGGGCCCAGGCACGTCTAAGTTTTCATCCCATGCATGGCTGCAGAAGTGGATGGTATCCACCTTCTCCTGGTCCTCAGAACAAGGCAGGGGATAACAGGATTGGGCAAATTTTGGAAAGGTCTGGGATTTGGCTCACATTCCCATTTGGGTCACAGCAGGCATGTCTGCACGTGCCCCTGACTGTGCAGTACCTGCCAGTACTGTTCAGTCCCAATGGCGCATGGGTCGTTTTTGACCCTCCTGTCCAGTAGCTTGTTGGTACTGAGCAGTGGTGGCGGCATTATGGTTAGTGCCCACCAACATTATGTCAGTGTAATGATGAGCTACATCACCATAGCTCATTGCTACAGCAATGGAGCATCTCGCATAGACATGCCCTGGTGCCTTACTATTAACTGGTTGGCAGGTGAACCAGAGTTTTGGTTCAGCCTGTTGGAGAGACAGGAGCTAAATCAGGACTTGTCATCTAGATCCACAGCCACATTCGCTCAGGCTCCGATCTGTTTGGATTTATGCTCACCTCTAAGCCAAACCTCCCAAGCCAGTGTTCAGTGATTTCACATGGGCTGAGATGAATGTAAGACTTGCACCTCTCATGATTGCCCTTCCTTGGCCACTGTCAGAGGCAGGAGACAGGACTAGTTGGACCCTGGGATCCAGTCTGATTATTTCCGTCATTCCTCATGACTCTTCTGTTCTGCGTGCAGTTCTACCGAGATGTGAAGGACTGGTGGCTTTTTGGCTTCTATTTCTGCCTGCCTCTGGCATGCACCGGTGTCTTCTACACTCTCATGTCCTGTGAGATGCTGAGCAAGAGAAATGGCATGAGAATAGCCCTCAATGACCACATGAAACGGGTAAGGAAACCAGGAAAGGGAACCAAGCCATCTGCCAAGTAAGCTGCAGACAGAATATAGACACATACTGGCCCCAGTATTAATGAGTACAAAGTTACTTCATTCCACCCAAGTCAATGAAGTAGAAGACAACGGAGCTATGCAAATTTACACCAGGACCTGTGGCCACTAGCTATATACATTTCAGAGCTCACTGAGTTTGCCTGGATCAATAATGGTTACATGGTCATAATTTTCCCCATAGTTCCACGTTTTGTCATTTTCAACACTTAACCTTTCATCTCCAGGTAAATACTTAGAAGTATATACAAGGATAGGCAGGTAGAACAAAGCTCTTTAGAGTGCCTTAGGCTCAGACAAGGATTTTGTCTCTGATCTCATTTACACTGAATTTTACACTGCTGTAAGTATGATTTACACCAGTGAAAGAAGAGGAGAATCAGGCTCATTTTAATGACACTTTTGACAGGGGTAAGTCAGACCACTGGTGATGTTTAGAACTTCATAGGCAGCAGCTCTCCTTATTTAATGTGCCGCAAGCTGGGCAACTCTCACATTATTATATGAGAGGCACTGTGTTTCTTAAACTAAACTAGTTCTTTATTAACAGCACTATACAGAGATGCTTCAAGCGCTGCTAGTGTTCCAGCCAGGCACACACAGAGAGGTGCTTCCTGGTGCCTATTCCAACTATCCCTTCCTGCAGCCTATACCTTCTTTCAGGTTCCATGCGGGTTCCTACATCTTTCCTTTTAACATATAATGCTGTTTCTTTTTTACTGGCATTCTCTGAATGCTGGAATTAAAGATGCATAGCTCAGTGCAGGGACATGGCTTTCAATATCCGCCCCGGCTAGGTCTCACAGTCCTTCAAGCCCACTGCTCTTCAGACTAGTCCTTTTTCCTGTTTGCAATGTCAGTGATGGTGGAGACTTGTTTCCACTGAATTGCTGTCCTCATTCTGCTGTGTCAGCTCTCAGTACTGCTCCTCTACTTTGTTTCCTCTGACTCTTCTCTATCAGGCCAGTTGATACCTATGCCTCTTTATAAGTCCACCTGGTCCTGGCCTTGTCCCCATCTATCCAGGCATTCAAGCTGTCTGGTACTACTGCACAGTTGTCTTCAGTTTTTTCCTCACCACTGTCCTGAGTTGGTAGCTATCACATATGACAGAAGACAAAAAAACAAGCAAAATTCTGTTCTGATTTACTAATATCATGTGTACTTGAAAAGCACAAATTGAGCATCCACAAGAAAATGCTTTACTGTATTTGAAAGGAAGCAAAGTTCACAGATAGTCTCCTGGGAAGAGCAAATGAATCAATCTGTAGAGTGCCGCCCCTACTGCAAACAGTAAAGTCATAGACTTTCCCCTCCTACAACACAGGACAAAAAGGGATACCTGGATATAGAACCCATCCCCAGGTATGACTGGGTCTCTGTCTCCCCATTACTATGGTCTGCGATTGCTCATTCCACTGATACATTTGAGGGTTACCCAGGCAATAGTTAAAAATACCTGCATGCAAGAATAACAGTGCAACATTATTCTGTCTCAGTCTGACTGTATATGGGAAGACAAGGGACTCTAAAGCACAGTGGTCTCTAAATGTTCTTGACTGCCTGCTGGTTAAATACATGATTCATTATTACAGCAGAAACAGGTTGCAAAGATGTCACTGTTTCATTGGTTGCAATGGCTGGCCCTTGTGTGTTCAGACCTCCTAGTAGCTTTCCATTGACTGGGAGGAATATTGGACTCAAGCTTGCTGCACCAGGACAGTGGTCAGCTCTGATGCTCAGCTCCAATACTTCTCATTCTTATAAATTCCCTTATCTTTGGACATGTGTAGAGCAGTGCTGTTCAGCTTTGACTCTGGGGGCTGGATTCAGCCCATAGGGCTTCTCAGAGGCTACATGACTCACCTTTGCCAGAAGAGCAACAGCTGCTGGAGCCACTGCATTAGCCAGTGATTTGAGCCAGCAGTGTTGACTGAAGTCCCCAAATGTGGTTGCAGAAAAAGGAGTCTTGGGAGGGAGGAGGGGGAAATGGTGGTGGCATTTGCTCCCTGAATTTCAAAGCACTGCCAATGCAGAGGCTCCTGCAACTGCATGGGCCACAATTTAACCCCTTGCAGGCCACATGCAGTCCATTGGACAGCCCTTGTCTAGGGGGTTAAGGGAGACTACGGTGGATGCTGCCACAGATCTTTCC